GTTTCTTCGAAAGACAGAATGAAGGTGTCCCTGATACCCCGTAGCTTGTCCACCATTCTTTCACATTGTCACCAAATCCTGGCACGTTCAACCATATGTTCTCAAATAGGAAAGGAGCACGCACCCCTACCTCTGCATCCATTTAGCAAGATAGTCAAATGATCCGAAGTCAGCCTAGGTAAAGGAATTTGTAGCACATTCGGCACCAGCTCATCCTAGGAGGGCGATATCAGAAATCTATCAAGTCTAGACCTTGAGTTGGAATCCTTTGCCCTGGCCCAAGTAAACCTTTCCCCTGACATAGGAAGGTCAATGAGAAAGTGATCATTGTTGAAGTCAGAAAACTCCTCCATGGCCCTCGAAATCACACTACACCCTAACCTCTCCTCCGGGAATCTAATAGTGTTAAAGTCTCCCCCTAGAACCCATGGAATGTCCCATTCCCCCATAACATTGGCTAGTTCCTCCCAGAAAGACACCTTGGACCCTTTTCCTACCGGTCTGTACACTCCCCAAATCCCCACTCCACCCCATTCACTCTATCTTTGACAAGAGCCGCTAAAGCAAAAACTCCCTTCTTAATCTCCTTTACCTCCAAGTTTCTATCATCCCACATAAGAAGAATGCCTCCGGCACTTCTTGCTGCTGGGACCAGTCATATTTTACTCAACTACCTCCCCAAACACTCCTCACAATTGCATCCGACAAAACTTCCATTTTGTTCTCCTTAAAAAAAATAGGTTGGCACCCCACTCTCTAACTCCCACTTTGATGATTGCCCTTTTGTTTGGGTCATTCATCCCCCTCACATTCAATGAAAGAATCTTAACTTCCATAAGTAACAATATCCCTCTTTTCCCCACCCCCATAGCCGAGCTCCCTTCCTCCATGTCACACACCCGGCCCCTTCTCTGATACACCATGACATCCTCTAAATTATTTTGCTTAACACCTTGACCCAACTCCCTCCTTGCACCATCATAAAAAGACTATTGCTCAATCTCCCTCAACAGTTCTAACACCATATCTTCCTTCCCTTCAAAAGAAACACCTAAAAACTTTCCAAAGTTTAATAGTTTATCCTCTATCCAGAAGGACATATCCCCTCCTCCAATCCATGACGAAATTGGACAGACGTTTTCTATATGTACCTTTTCCTTGCTCCTACCGAAGGAATACAAGACCATATCATTGCTAGCAATAGGAACTTTAGGTGCCGGAAAGATCTCACCATTTCCTTGAGAGGCACCAGCCTCTGAGATTAACACCCCGTTGCTATAGGAATGTCCAGAAATGCCAGCAGTGTAGCGGGAAGGAAGAGAGCATGGAACCCTTGGCGGCATATTAATTGGAATTGCTCGTCCGGCACTAACATCAATTGGGGCATGCGCAACAATCTCTCTAGAAGAAGAAGGAGCTTGAAGTGTAACCTACATAGGAGAAGATGAGGGGGCGATGGAGCTGGGTCCATCAGAGGCGGGAGGCCGTGGAATAACACCACCAACTTTAGCCGGTGCTGCCCCTAAAGCAACGACCATCGAAGAGGGGCGCTGGACACTAGAGCTCGGTGAAGAAATAACACTGTGTGAAGCATCATTGGCAGAAGAAGAAGGATCGACTGTTCCTATATGCTTAGGAGCCTTATCAGACGCAACTTGAAATAATTTGGGTCCTTAAGGATCAATTCTAATAGAATTGGGAAAAGTTGCTGGGCCCATGTGTGGAGGCCCAGGCCTATACTTGCTGAAAACTTGCCCGGCCCTATGATAATTAAAAGAGGACCGCTCATTTTGCCTTTCCAGCCCGCATCACTAACCCAGGGGCATTTTCCTCCTGATAAATTTTGTCTTATTCTCTCAAATTCAAATCCCCCGTCTCTTTTCGATCTAACTTCTGATTCTTGCTTAGCCCACTGATCCGGTGAGCCCCCCTCCCCTCCCTTCAGAGACTGATTCCCCTCCCCTTTCTTCTATTTGACCTACCTTTTCTTCCGCTACTATCACATGCATAAAGATATGGCGATATTCAAGGCTCAACCAAACCCTATAACTCAAGTAGCCATCTTCCACCATAGTGGAGACAGGGATTATGTCCCCTTTTCTAACCACAATCCTCACTTGCGAGAGATTGTGTAGGCTGCACGTGACATCAATAAAACCCCCACAGATTTTCCCAATCTTCTTGAATAGGTCAAGACACCAAAGATGCACCGGGAGACCCACTATGTTGACCGCTAATGTTTCGCCGGTGAAACGAGGGTCGAGACACCCATCGTGCTCCACCCATCTGTCTAGCTTTAAGAAGTTCCCATTGAACCACCTGTTTCCTCTAACAAGAATTTCTGAAGCTTGAGACTCGTCGGCAAATCGAAAGAGATATTGCGTGTCCCCCAGTTGCGATATTTTCAGTCCGTCCTTAGACGTTCCATGCCTCTGCTGCCCAGTTCCTAACAGCCTCTGGAGAATCAACCTATTTGGAGAAAGACCCAATCAGACAAGATTCCAAGAAACTCTTGCGCCTGAGAGTGTGCTCCTCAGACAGCGAGAAGTGCGGTTCCTGCCCTACGTCGAGCTTTCGATGACATCTTCCCCCAAGTTCTAAGGCTGGCCAAGAGGCAGCTTTGATGAATGATATGTTTTCCAATTTTCTTGATTCTAGAGAGAAGTAGGAGCTTCTCTCTGTAGAATCCATCATATCTAAATGCGGCTGTCCCAAAAGCCTCGCGAAGAGGTTGACTGAAGAAGAAGAAGAGAGATCTGGTCGGAAAAACCTCATCTGTCGCCGGAAAATAGTGAAAGTCATCGGAATTTGGAGGTTGTTGGATGGGAAGACTCGGAACATCCGCGCGAAGAGGCTGTCTGAAGGAAAAAAATTGAGATCTGGCCGGGGTGAGCCTCACGCGTTGGCGCGTGGCTGACGAGTTGTCAGAACTGGGCCGCGCTTGAGGGCGTGTGCGTGATTGTATGCCGGAGATTTTAGCTAGGTTCTGGTCGCGACAGGGATGGCTCTTGGAGGGTGGTGATACGAACCTAGGATTCATGGTAAAGAAATGCCTCGGGGAAAGTGCCTGGGAGCATTTTTTCGGATCTCACTACCACCCTCTCTTGTTTGGAAATATCCCTTTAAAAATTAATTGTATATTGGATGTGCACCTGTGCGGTTATACAAGATTAGACAAAATTAGAAATGAACATATTAGTTAGAAGGTTCAAATAGCACACAACAACAACAAACTCAGTATGATCCCACAGGTGAAGCCTGGGGAGGGTAGTGTGTATACAGACCTTATCCTTACCTTGGAAAGGTAGAGTGGTTGTTTCCTATAGACCCTCAACTCAATAAAAGCATAGTCACAACATTATTAAAAAGAAACATAGTAATGGACACAATAATGAAAAAAAAGCAGTGACTAGGAGCATTAACAACAACAAGATAATAAGGTAATCAAAGCAAAAAAAATAACCGGTAGTACTAGAAATCTAAGTATAAGAAAGTATGGGAATAATATTGATATTACATGTATGAAAAAGAGATACACTCGGCTACTTACTAACGTTCTACCCTAATTCTCGACTTTCATATCCTTCTATGAAGGATTATGCCCTCGGTAAGCTGCAGGTATGCCATGTCCCGCCTTATCATCTTTCCCCAATACTTTTTTGGCCTACTTCTACCTCTCTCAGACCAACCAGGGCCAACCTCTCACTAGCGCATCTGGGCATCTCCTTTTCACATGGTCGAACCATCTTGTTCTCATTTCTTCTAGTATGCCCATACATCCATCTCATCATTTTTATTTCCGCTACTTTCAACCTTTGGACATGAGAGCTCTTGACTGGCAAATACTCCGCCCCATATATGATATAACATAGTCGGCCTAACAACCACTCTATAGAACTTACCTTTAAGTTTTATTGGCACATACTTATCACTCAAGACACCGGATGCGAGCCTCCATTTCATCCATCCTGCTCCAATACGATGTGTGACATTATCATCAATCTCTCCATTACCTTGGATTATAGACCCAAGATACTTGAAACTTTCTCTCTTCGTGATGGCTTGTGTATCAAGCCTCATTTCCACCCCCGCTTCATGAGTAATGTCACTGAACTTGCACTCCAAGTACTCTGCCTTAGTCTTGCTTAGCCTGAAACCCTTAGACTCTTGTGCTTGTCTCCAAACCTCCATCCTAGTGTTAACACCGTCTCGCGTCTCATCAATCAGTACTATGTCATCTGCAAATAACATGCACCATGACACCTCCCCTTGGATGTATCACGTCAATTCATCCATCATCGGGGCAAATAAGAACGGGCTAAGGGCTGATCTATAGTGTAACCACATCACAACCGAGAAGTGATCTGAGTCTCTTCCGACTGTTCTTACCTGGGTCTTAGCTCCATCATACATGTCCTTAATCACCCTAGTGTACGATGCAGGTACACCTCTAGCCTCCAAACATCTCCGTAGAACCTCTCTTAAGAGGTTCAAATAGCACACATCAGAGGTTAAAATGAGAGAAGGCTGCTTGAGATGTTTGGTCATGTTCTGTGTCGACCTCCATATGCACCGGTTTGTAGATGTAAACCATGGTGAGTGAATGTATTAAAAGGAGACGAGGTAGGCCTAAAATCACTTGGAATGAGGTTGTCCTGAAGGACCAACAATCTCTTAGGATCCATGCAAACTTAGAGAAAGGTAGGGCACAATGAAAGAAAAAGATCTATATAGGCAATACCTATTAGTGGCAAATATGTTTTGGTCATGTTAGCACTTTTACTGTATGTCCTATGCTTTTTAGGAGTTGTTTAGCCTTTTAAAGCTTTATACCTCAGTAGAATATATTAAGAATTTCTGGTACTTCTTATTTTTATTTTCTTTTTGTAATTATTTCTATTTTTATTTGTATAGTATTGGCATGAGATGAGTAACATGGTCATTAAGGATTCATATAGCTTACCCCAACTTGTTTGAGATTAAGTTGTAGTAGTAGTTGTTGCATCCTTTTAAGAAATGGAATTTTTTTCTTGGCAGGATATGTACAAACAAAGAAGAAAAGCGGACACGTGGTTATGAGGGAAAGACCAAGGTGATGTATCATTTCTAGTTCGATTGTCAATCTACCCACAATTTGTCCAATTAATGGGGTTTTGTTATTATAAAACTTATGATTTTGGCATTCCTCTTATGTCATAGGTTCTTCTGCAAGCTTACTTTATGTAGGTGAAATTAATGAAAGGAGGCTCTTATTTCTCTTTTATTTTTCAATTGCTCTTCACTTCTGCAGGATGCATGTCATTTATTGACTGAGCTGCTGAGAAGAAACTTTTGAAGGTTCCATTTAATGACTTCCCCTGAACGAGCAAGGAGTTATGTGAAACAGAATACACAAGATGACACAGAGTTAAAGGGTGACAAGTTCAGAGATAATGATGATGACTGTGAAGGGGAGGATAAGAGAAAATACAGGTCAAGCAAGTCAAGAAGGTCTGGCAACGGTGAAGATGCTGAAGTTTTAGATAGTGGAAGGAGGAGAAGTACTGTGGAGAGAACTGAGAGTCGTAAAAGGTCAGGTGGATCAAGCAGAGCTGATGGTGACGAGGATGACTATGAAACCAAAAAGGAATCTCGATCTAAGTTGAAGAAGAAACTGGAGGAGAATACATTGGAGAAATTGAGCAATTGGTATCAAGATGGAGAACTCGAGAGCAAGTATGATAATGGAGAAAAAAATGGGGCTAGAGGATTTACTCGAGCTGATGAAAGTGATAAACGGAAATCAACTGCAAAGTTTTCTGATGGTGATGGTTCAGAGACAAGAAATAAAGGCAAAGGTGAAAAGTTAACCAGTGGAGACTTTGAAAATGCAGTGGAAAAAGACTGTAGATATGTGGAAAGAAAGGAGAGTAGCAGAGAAAAGGCTCATGGATCTGAGCAGGCGAGAATCTCAAGGAGAAGGTGGGATGAATCAGATTCTTCCAGGAAAGTTGAAGAAAGCGAATATGGGGAAAAGCTTGATGTAAGGAGTGGAAAACCAGGTGATATAATGTTGGAGAGCCTCAAAGATCCAGATGGAGATAAAGCTGATAAATATCAGGACAGGGACGAAAGAAGAGCTGATTCTGATAGGAGTAGAAGAGTCCGATCAGAAGCTATAGATGAAGACAGTAAAGGAGCTTTTCCGATACGGGAAGATAGATTGGGTAAGGATAGATTGGGGGAGCATAGGCAGGCACGAGATCCCATGAGTCGTGACATAGTTGCCAGCCGTGAAAGAGTTGTAGATGATGATAGTTCATGGGTAACAGAAAGGAGCCGGAGAGAAACTGACTCCTCCAACAGGTCCAGGACACCTGAGAGGAGTGGGCGCCATCATTACGATTCAGAATGCCTTGAGATGGAATATGAAAAAAGAGATACTTTCAGGAGGAAAGAACAAGAAAAAAATGGCTACAGAGATGATAGATCAAAAGGAAGGGATGATGGTTGGAGTGAGAGAAATAGGGAGCGTGATGGTTCCCGAGATGGGTGGAAAAGAAGGCAAGGGAACTTTGCTGACAAGGAAATGAAAGAAGGTGATACACCTTATGAACATGGCAGAGAGTGGGAATTACCCAGGCGTGGTTGGATTGACAATGAAAGGCCTCGTTCTGGTGGTAGAAAAGATGGAAATAGGACAGAAGCTGTAAAAACTTCATCAAAATATGGAATTTCAAATGAGAATTATGATGTCATAGAGATCCAGACCAGGCCATTTGACTACGGTAGAGATGAGGTCAGACCTGACTTAGCAAGAACAAATGAATTTAATCAGAATACTGATGCAAGATTGGCTCCAGCTGATGAGAGGAATGCATTTTCAAGGAATGATAGAGCAAGAATTATGTCCAGTTCAGACCAATCTGGTCAAGATTTGAAGGATACAACAATTGATGGATCATACAGGGATGATGTTGAATCTCTGGCAGATAAAACAAGAGGCCAGAAAGAAGATGCATCTGGTCGTGCCACTGGTGGCCAAACTTCAAGTAATGGTTCACAACCTCCACATGGAAACCAGGAGCAGTCTTCCATTAGTAGGGTTGTTCCACCTGGCGCTAAAGGAAGTAGAATTGGGAGAGCAGGAAGAGGGAGGCCTACAGGGAGGGACAGCCACCAATTGGGACTTCCAATGCCAATAATGGGATCAGCCTTTGGACCCTTGGGTATGCCACCACCTGGGACAATGCAATCTTTGGCTCCTAACATGTCACCTGCTCCTTGTCTTCCCATCTCCCCTGGCGTTTTCATTCCACCATTTTCACCTCCTGTGGTTTGGCCAGGAACTCGAGGGGTCGATATGAATATGCTTGGTGTTCCACCTGGACTTCCTGTCCCGCCTGGGCCTTCTGGACCCAGATTTCCCCCTAATATGGGGAACCTACCAAATCCTGCGTTGTATTTTAATCAACCAGGCCCTGGAAGAGGAGCACCACCTAATTTTTCTGGTCCTAATTTTAATACCTTAATGCCGGCAGGTCGCGGACAGGTTCAAGATAAGGGTCCTGCAGGTTGGGTGCCTCCTAGAACTAATGCACCACCCGGCAAAGCTCCTTCGAGAGGCGAGCAGAATGATTACTCCCAAAATTTTGTAGACACTGGCATGAGGCCTCAAAATTTCATCAGGGAACTTGAGCTTACCAGTGTCGTCGAGGACTATCCCAAGCTTCGGGAACTTATACAAAAGAAGGATGAGATTGTTGCCAAAGCTGCTTCACCACCAATGTATTATAAATGTGACCTGCGTGAGCAGGAGCTGTCCCCAGAATTTTTTGGAACCAAATTTGATGTCATTCTTATAGACCCCCCATGGGAGGAATATGTTCATCGAGCTCCTGGTGTCACAGACCATATGGAATACTGGACGTTTGAGGAAATAATGAATCTGAAGATCGAGGTATGACTTTTTGCATATTGATCCCAGTTCTTTAATATAATACATATCTGTTGCTTTATGATGCAGAGCACAATGTAGACAACCTTAGCTGTGAAAATTTTCCCCTCTTCTCCTGTTTATTTCACTATTATACTCTTCCAAGTCTTCCCGGCATCGTGTTGAAATTACATTCAGTGACTGTACAACCACAGCATGCAGTTTTAGCATACATATACAATACACACACGCGCGCGCGCCCGCGTGTACGCACAGATACATACATACGTACGTACACAAACACATACACACGCACACAAAAACACAATAGGTTTTCTAACATTTGGAAATGACTTGGTAATCTTTGGCTTTTCACTTTCCTGTTAGCTTCTTCCTTTCTGGGGCTGAATATGTTATGATCATTGAACTGTCTTTGTGTCACACAGGCAATTGCTGACACTCCATCATTCATTTTCCTTTGGGTTGGTGATGGCGTAGGGCTTGAGCAAGGGCGTCAATGTCTGAAGAAGGTACATAATTGAAGCAATGAGAAAGCTTAATATGGTCACATATTTGCTTGTTTCTTGCTATCTTTAATCCTATTCCCCCCCCACCCC